ATCAATCAGAAAAGATTCAATGATGGCGCTGACGAGAAGAAGAAGCTGTATTGCATCTACGTTGCTGTTGGACAGAAGCGATCGACTGTTGCGCAGATTGTGAAGCGTCTCACTGATTCTGGTAAGTGTCATTTTTGCAAATACGATCCGGTTAAGTGTCAATTCTGCAAATAAAACTCTGGAAAGTATCATTTTGTCTACAGCATAATGAAAAGGATCAGGTAAAATGGATTGTAAATAGACTTCGGTTGTAGAGAACCGTGTGTTATAGAACCAAAAAATGATTCGTTATGCAGAGAAAGTTGTTCTACGCAAGATTTTCGTAGAGAGGGAGTCCATTCATAATTCAACAACGGAGGTTTACGCGTAAATTTTTGAATATTAGTCCTCAGAACCACTGAGAGACCAATTGAAAAACTGGAAGGAAAGTGTTCACAGTAATTCGCTGATGTAATTTTTTTCGAATTACTGCTCTTGCACGGTTGAAATCTTGCTCATCAATTGACCATAAATTATTTTCACAGACGCGATGCGTTACACGATCGTTGTGTCAGCTACTGCATCCGATGCAGCTCCCCTGCAATACTTGGCACCGTACACCGGATGCGCTTTGGGCGAATTCTTCCGCGACAACGGCAAACACGCGTTGATCATCTTCGACGACTTGTCCAAGCAGGCCGTCGCCTACCGCCAGATGTCTCTCCTTCTGCGTCGTCCCCCGGGTCGTGAAGCCTACCCCGGCGACGTTTTCTATCTCCATTCTCGACTCCTGGAACGTGCAGCCAAGATGAACGAGACGCACGGCGGAGGATCCTTGACTGCCTTGCCCGTCATCGAGACTCAGGTGAGTTGATACCTTTTCCGTGTCAATAAAATACTGTAATAGCCAACAGGCCTACAGAATATTGTAGCTTTTCAGATTTTTACAGGGAGTCTGAAATATTTGGACATGGGGCGGTATTTGACTTAGGGAGGTGTAAATTATAAAGATTCAACTGCATTTGAAACTAATATTTTCCTTGGTTCCAGGCTGGTGACGTGTCCGCTTACATCCCGACAAACGTCATTTCCATCACGGATGGCCAGATCTTTTTGGAGACTGAGTTGTTCTACAAGGGTATCCGACCAGCCATCAAC